GCACACTCTCCCCCCACATAATTAAAAATAAACTTTTTTATTTCAAGGACATTTGTAGGCTATATATCTTAGCTGGAATTATTCTTGTGTTGGCAGAAGGGTTTGGAAGGCAGTATAAAAAATTACTTCTAATGTTTCCTCTCATTAAAAATATTTTTATCCTTTTATCTTAAATGTTTCACTGTTCTTTCTCTTTGTGTTATTAAGGGAAAAGCTTTCAGCAGCAAAGGGAAGCCATGAAGCAAACCATAGAAGAAGATAAGGAGCCAGAGAAATCAGGTTAGAGACTTACATTTGGTATTAGTAAAAACAAGAGTCTTGGGTTTTCATCTGGAACCATGTTGAATATACACACTAGAATTATCAAGAGAGAAAGGAGTATTAGAGGCAAAACTCAATATCTTTTTTTTTTCTTTTTTTCCTCCCAAGACAGGGTTTCTCTGTGTCGTTTTGGAGCCTGTCCTGGAACTCTCTCTGTAGACCAGGCTGGCCTTGAACTCACAGAGATCTGCCAGGCTCTGCCTCCCCAGTGCTGGGATTAAAGGTGTGCACCACTGCCACCTGGCCAGAACACATTATCTTTGGATGTAAGAAAAGATGAAAATATTATAGTGTGTAATTAATAGGAAATGACAAATGAAAAATAGTTCTGTGAACAGTATGTGTTAAATCTTAGATCAGTTTGAAATAGCATTGTTTAAGGAAATAAATACTGTATTTATAATTATTTTTAATTAATCAACAGGAAAACTGTGGTGTGCAAAGAAGAACAAAAAGAAGAGGAAAAAGGTTTTATATAACGCCAATAAAAATGATGGTAAGTTCTAATCTCAGGTATAGCAGGAGTTGTGTTTATAACATTTGTAATATTCAATTGTTTCCTGTAAGGTTTTTTTTTTTTCTTAAAGTTTTTACAAAACTATTACTTGTCTCTAACAATTTTCTTTTTTTTTTTTTTAAAAAAAAATGTGTTTGAAGTAAAATAAGTTCGTCAACGGTATCTTAAGTCACAAAAGCAGCTCATTCTACAGAGCACACTGCTTACTGGCTAAGGCCAGCACACAGGAATTTTTTTTTTTATCTTTACAGATTGCTAAGATTAGAAGTTATAAAGTCATAACATCTCTGAAAATGCAGAACTCAGTTAACACTGGGGTTCTGTTCCCAGGGACAGCAGTTTTCTGTACTGACTGACAACTATGGCCCTGACTGGGGCACCTACAATCTAGGTCAGCTGTCACCACCACCTGTGATTTTTCTCATTTGCTTCTCTGGACTCATTACCTTTGTGATTGGTCTTCATTGCTTTCAAATTCCTCAGCCCTGCTTTGGTCCACATTAGAAAAACCAAGGAATAAGTCAGAAGCACTCCTTTAAAAGCTGCAAGGCTTATTCTCAAGAATATGAAGCATAAATTAAACTACTAAAGCAAAATTTAGGATTATTAGGTATTCTTGTTTATTTGTGTTTTGAGACAAGGTTTCTCTGTGTAGCCCTGGCTCTTCTGAAACTCACTCTGTAGACCAGGCTGTCCTAGAACTCAACAGAGATGCCTGCCTTTGCTTGCTGAGTGCTGGGATTAAAAGTGTGTACCACCACCACCCAGGTAGATTATTAGATACTCTATATAATGCTGAATCTAAAATTCAATCAGCTTTAATCATTGTTTTCTAAAGCAAGCTTCCTTTATGCGTGGTATATTATGTAACTAAGAAGAGTCAATAAGTTTCTTATCTTACTGGCTAAAACTGATTAATATCTTTGTTTGCTAGTACATTGCAGATCTAAGTGGAGATGAGCCCTGTTTTCTTCATTTCCTTTTCTTTCTGCCTCCACTCCCGATCTCTTTCTGTGAGGCAAGTGTTCCACTGTTGAGCCACGTCCCAGCAGCTCTTATTTTATTTCTTAAAACAGACTCAAGGTGATAAGTACAGCTCTAGAGCTTCTAGACTGGAGCCCCCAGATGTAGACGAGACTAAGTCTGGAAATCAGAATGTCACCAGCGTGACTGTACACGTTAGAAGAAGCTCAGAAGAAAAGTGACTGAGAAAAGAAGCAATTGTCATTGTTACTGAAAGTACCTGCTGTGCTCTATAGCAATAAACGATGTACTTTCGTCTCACAGTAAATTTCTTGAGGTTGCAGACTAAGAGATTCAAATTCAGATATTAAAGTTTCTGTTTAAATTGTTGCAGCTAATTAAACAGTTGAGTTGAAATTTAAACAGTCTGAGCCCCAAATCTATGCTAGACATGAGCAAGACTTAAAAGGTTCCCTCCCTCATGGAACTTCCTGGTGCCTCATCCTCATGCTGGCTGTTAATTGCCTGCATTTGTTCTGACTTGATGGCTTTGGCTTCATGTGTATCTTGGGTTTTTAAGATGTCACCCCACTCCTTACAGTTTGTATTTTGAGTCATGATTCTGGATTAAAGGTAAGTAGTAGAAATATAATGTATTTTTAACTTGTGTACCTACAGGAAAGCATTCTAGCCCTCTCAGATATACTGGTGGTAGCCACGTTATGCAGATGTTTGTCCATGCTTGCTCTCCATTTATAGCTGATCCTAAAAGGAGCCCTATTAAGTGGAGTCTATGAAAATGACACATGTCCCATAAACTTATCCCTACAGTCCCCTCTGGTACAGTACTCACTGCAAACTAGTAACTTTTAAATCAGACAGGGTGGCTTAAACACCTGTAATCCCAGAACTTGGGAGGTTGAGGCAAGAGGATCACCACAAGTTTGAAGCTAGCCTGGGCTACAGAGTAAGCTCCTAACTCAGAAACAAACACAACAGCACGAACAAAACTTAGCTATTCTATGTAAGAAAGTATATCTTTATGACATGGCATTAGTTATAGCTGAAATTCTTAACTCTTTCTCTCCCAAAGATTATGACAATGAAGAGATCTTAACGTATGAGGAGATGTCACTTTACCATCAGCCAGCAAATAGGAAAAGACCTATTATCTTGATTGGTCCCCAGAACTGTGGCCAGAATGAGCTGCGTCAGAGACTCATGAACAAAGAAAAGGACCGCTTTGCATCTGCAGTCCCTCGTAAGTCTGGACACATTCCCGTTTTCCTGTGCTCTACTCAGAATCTCAATGACATTTAGTGAAACAGTGTTGTCAATGAAAGAGGAAATTTTTTTAACCAAACCTGTTGGCAGGTTTTTATTAAAGGTAGGTCTTGAGGACTTAAAATTGTCCCGAGTGTATGGCACTAGGAAATTTTCTAAATAAATTTTAGTTTAGGCCCATTTCCCTATTTCATGGGAAACTGAATTCTTCATTCTTAAACTGATGTTGAAGATAGCAATTTAGACCTAATTTCTGAAAAGAAATTTCAGATTACATAGTACCTACTCTTACTGAAATAAACTTTAAGAAGAGGTGAGTTGGTGGTGTTTTACAGTATAAACAAAATGGATCAAGGTAACTAAGGCTAACTAGTAAGACACTGTAAATGTTTTTGTTCATGACTCTATAGGAACAGTGCTAAATACACAGGCCCTTAACATTTCCTCATTATTTCATAATTTGTGTTATAAAATAAAAATTCTTCCTGGTTTTATCCTTCCTCTCCACACTGACCCATATTATTAATATTATTATTAAAGATTTATTTTACTTATATGTATGTTGGGGAAGGGGTGTGTACATGTTAGTGCATTTGCCTGTGGTGAGCAGAAGAGGGCTCCATTTACCCTGGAACTATGGGCCACCTGATGTGAGTGTTGGGAACCGAACTCAGGTCTTACGGAAAGGCCAGACTATACTGTTAGCCGCCCTCTGTCCAGCCCCTTGTGTTTATGGTTTTTATCTAATTGTGATTGTTTAGATACAACTCGGAATAGACGGGACCACGAAGTAGCTGGTAGAGACTACCACTTTGTGTCACGGCAAGCGTTTGAGGCAGATGTAGCAGCTGGCAAGTTCATCGAGCATGGTGAATTTGAGAAAAATCTGTATGGAACCAGCATAGATTCTGTACGACAAGTCATCAACTCTGGCAAAATCTGTCTTTTAAGTCTTCGAACACAGGTAAAGCTAGAATTGTGTTTTAGAGTGTTAAACTTGAAGGGCATATTTTGTTAAGTAATCTAGTTAAAAAAAAAAAAAAAAAAAAAAAAACAAAACAAAAACTGTATTTGGGTCCAAGAATGACTATGTTTGTTCTCGTGCAATTTTCCATTCATTTTCTAAAATCAAATATGTCACTAAATCTCTGTCACTTGCAACATGTACATATTTTTGAAACTTAAAAATATACTTAACTCTGGTACTGACTATACTTTAAGTCTCTAGAAACTATCTTTTCTGATCTGAGGAAAATTAGAAAATTCAAAGGTTAATCTTAGTTTTAAAGGCCACACAGGTCCCAGTCAAGACTCAGTATTATCTGAGTAAGAAGACCTTAGATTCACCTATTTGATAGAATAATCCACACTTAAAATTACCAGCCAATGCATCTTAGATTTACATTTTAAATGCTACCTTCAAAATTTGGAGTTTTAAAGATTGTGTTTGCTATGGAAATGTTCTACTTTTTATAAATGATTCAGCTTTAACATAGAACTTTAATTAATGTGGCTGAGTCTGTTGCTGATACCAACTCAAGCCACAACATCAGTGGGCATTAAGTAGATTTACACAGACAGAAGTTGACTCTTAAATGGCTTCCTAAGATAGTAATTAGTTTTCTCTTTGTTCGTTTTGGATTTGGGTTTTTAGAGGGCAGAGGCACTAGGTTTGTGCTATTTCAGTCATAAACATTTTATTTAAGGAAACTTTCTTTGTTGTTGTTTTGTTTTGTTTTTTTCTCTGCATAGTTTTGGTGCCTGTCCTGGATCTCGCTCTGTAGACCAGACTGGCTTCGAACTCAGGTCTGCCTGGCTCTGCCTCCCAATTGCTGGGATTAAAGGTGTGCACCGCCGCCGCCGCCGCCGCCGCCGCCGCCGCCACCACCACCACCAGGCTAAGAAAACTTTGAAATTTCTTTTAGAATTCTTTATTTGGATTAACAGATATTACCATAAGACTTAAAATAGTTGAGCATGTTAATGCTTCTTCACATAAGAAAGGGCGTGTCTGTCTAATACTGCTGGTTAGAGTACTCAACTTGACGTGCCCAGCAGTGCAGTGATAGGACAGTGTGAGTCCCGTGTCTGACTGCAAACAATCTGTCTTGTCCTGGGTCTCTTTGGCCTGTGTATAGGAAGTTTTTCTCTCTGGTTTTGCTTCACCTAGAAAGGCAACTGCCCGGATTCTGATTCCTCAAAAATGAATTTTAATATGGTTATTATAATCCACGTGATTTATTATACAGTTGTAATCCCTTCAATGTCTTTTACCTCTATTTCAGTATATAGAACACTAGGCTTACATAATATATGTGAATTTATATTTATACTTTTACAGTGAATGAAGATACTATCTCAGAATGTTACGGGTACGATTTATGGTAAAATGCTTGGAAATATTTATAGACATCTTAACAATATATATTATTGAGAAGTAGTTCCATGATGGGAGTTATTTCTAAAACCCAAATATCTTTACAGTCTTTGAAGACCCTCCGGAATTCGGATTTGAAACCATATATCATCTTCATTGCACCACCTTCACAAGAAAGACTTCGGGCATTGTTAGCCAAAGAAGGCAAGAATCCAAAGGTAAACTTGTCACAGTGCTCTATCAGTCCACTGACGTCAAGCAGGAAATCTCCCTCGTCTTTCCTCCTGGAGTTGAGAAGCTGTATCAGCATCAGCTATCAAGCTGATTATTCTTTCTATATCACTTGCCCCGAAACTGCTGCAGCTGCAGCCCTCTGGACCATGGCAGCTGTCCAAATCAGAGGGCTGCTCCTGTCTCCCCTATCCCTTCTGCTAACCCCAGATCTATGAGAGCCTCCAGAACCCCTTAAAACTTGTGTACTCTCGAGAAAGGTCTGACATTTCCAAGGGGATCATATTGCTGCTTCCTCCCCGTTCAAAGGTCTCAGCAAACCCTTGGCAATCACCCACTTTTCTCCTTAGCTAGTCCACATTTTCAGGGTTCCAGAATTGTCTTCTTTTTACCCGAGCTTTGTTTTGGTTTTTCTTCTCTTCGTTTTTGAACATGATCTGGAACAGAAAGGGAGCAAAGGTTTAAATTATTTTAGATATTTGCTGTATGTGTTGATGGAGTCCATGTTATATATGGTTTTCATCTGCATTTTCCTGATGAATAATGAAAATCTCATGTAGGCGTTTGAGCATGCTCTTCTGTGAAGACCTCAAACTTTGTCATTTTTCAAAAGTTGGGTTGTTTTTTGTATTCATTTAGAATTTTTGACTGTGTATATGTATGTGTACATTTGTGTAAATGGGTGCTTGTGTGCCGTGATGTGGATGTCAAGGTCAGAGGTCAAATTTGTGGCATTGTTTCTCTCCTCCACCTTTACCTGGGTTCCAGGAATTGAGCTGAGGTTGCCAGGCTTGTGTGGTGAGCTCATTGCCCCCTGAGCTATGTTGGTGCCCCTTGCACATACTATATATTTCAGTGATTTTATCCACATCTTGTGTTCTTTTTTGTTGTTTTGGTCCTTTGTTTCTTTGTTTTCAAGATGGGTCTCAATAGCCTGAAACTTGCTGTGTAGACCAGGTGGCCTTGAACTCATAGAGACCCATCTACTTGTGCTTCCTGAGTGTTGGGATTAAAGGCTTACACCCACGTCCAGCTGTCTTTTTTTTTTTTTTTTTTTTTTTTTAATTCTTTAGTGATAAAAAATAGGTTTAGTTTGGTTTGGTTTGGTTTGGTTTGAAAACAGGATCTTGCTCTGTAGCTTATAATGATATGAAACCGTCCATCCTCCCTCTTGTCTTTCTCTGCCTCACAAATTCTGGGAGTGTAGCCATGTGCCATAGTACCCTGCCAGAGAAATGTTCAATTTTAATGAAGTTCACTTTTTCATTTTCTTACAGTTGGTGAATTTTAGGCATGTCTAAAAAATTGTAAAGATATTATCCTATGTTTTCTTCTTAAATATTTCTAGTTTTAGCTTGTGTGTTTTGGTTGAATTAATCATAGTGTGATGTGACAGGGAAGTTTTATTTTGTTTTTGAAATAACATGGATATCAAATTGTTCCAACAATCTTTGTTGGGAAGTCTGTCTTTCCTATGGTATTTGGTATGTGTGTGTATGTGCATGATGGATGGGTGCCACAGGACACATGTGGAGGTCAGAGGACAGCCTTGTGGAGTTGATTTTCTCCTTCTGCCTTTAACTGAGTTCTGGGTAAGTAAGCTCATTCACCTGCTGAGTCGCTGTGCTGGCACTTTTATTTCTGGATTCTCTTCTGCACTTAGACTGATTCCATAGCATTTTGATTCCTGTACCTTTACTGTTATGTCTTGAAAAGCAGACAATAAAGAAGAAAGAAGTACTGGTGCATAATGCAACAAGGGGAAAACTTAAAAATGCTATGCCAGTTGAAAAAACTCAGACTCACTAGAGCACAGGTTATATGATTCCATACATATGAGATGCCCCGAACAGACAATCTGTGGATACATGACATAAATTAGTAATTGCTAAGGCATGGGCGAAAAGGGTTAATGGCTACAAGCTTATAAATATTTTTAGGTGGTGTCTCAGTTACTGTTCTATGGCTGTGTAGAGACACCATGACCAAGGCAACTTAAAACATTTCATTGGGGGCTTACTTACAGTTTCAGAGGGTGAGTCTATGACCGTGACGGTGGGGTGGGGAGCATGGCAGACAGGCATGGTGCTGGAGCAGTAGCTTAGAGTTTTCATTGGAGTCAGACAGAGACTAGGCCTGGTGTGAGCTTTTGAACCCCCAAAGCCCAGCCCCAATGACATACCTTCTCCAACAAGGCTACACCTCCTAATCCTTCCTTAAATAGTTCTACCAACCAGAGACCAAGCCTTCAAAAATATGAGCCTTTCTCATTCAAACCACAAGTGGGGGTGAAAAAATTGTTCTGAAATTGATTATGGTATTAATGCAAAACTCTACAACCATACTAAAACCTATGGAATTGTATATTTTAAATTGGTAAATTGTATGGTGCATGAATTGTATCTCAATAAAACTGTTAACTTTCCCAAGGCAGGAGAAAAACAGTCTCATCAGGCTTTTCTGTAGAAGTTGAGTAACTGATTAGAAACTGCCATCAAAATTGAACAAAATTACCAAAACCCTGTAGAAAGCTTGAAGAGTCTGTCTTCTCTTTTCTATTGAAGTTAGTTCCCCTTCACTTTGATTTTCATTCACACATGCTCTAACTTCTGAAGATGAAACCTTACATCATTTTTAAGCCTTTTCTCTTTTCAAATGGAGGCATTTGTAAGCAACTTGTTAGCTGTACCCCGTAACTTTTGATGTATTTTTGTTATCATTTTGATAGAATATTTTCTACTTTCTGCTGTCATTTTTATCTTTAACTCATGGGTTATTTAGATATATGTTAATTTTCACCCATTTGGTGATTTTAAAGAATGCATTACTGAATTACAGTTCCATCATTATCAGAGAATGGACCCCAGGAGATGTCAATCTTTTAAAATATGTTGAATTTTATTTTATGGCCCATCACCCACTCTTAATACCCATGCTTGTAAGTGTCTGCTCTGTACTTGTGGCTAGAGGGTGGTATGTATGGTTGCCTTTTTATTCCACTTACATTTGTATGTATGTATGTATGTATGTATGTATGTTGTCTTGGAGACAGGGTCTCACTGTGTAGCCCTTGGTGACTTGAAATATGTAGACCAGTCTTATAGTACTTTATCACATGATATCACTAGTGGGTAAACACAGGTCTTAGTGACAGCGTTGCTTACTCGGTTGGTTCCAAATGTAAACCCCTGGTGGAACGTCCTGTACTCGCAATTGTGGAACCTGTCCTGGGTTTGGGGGAGGGGCTTGAGAGGAGATGGGATGAGGTGATGGATGTCAGATTTTGGTGAACGGTTAATTTTTTTCAGTTCATACAATTTTCAGGTAAAACATTTTATCTGAGTCATGGGTTATAATTTGAATAAGAAATTCAGATATATGGTAGTAAATGATAAAAAGATGTTAACTAATGCTTTAGTTAACAACTAATCTCAAGCTTTGAGTAGACAGGTTTTATAAAAATGTCACAGTGTTTGGTTATAATGAGTCTGTTGTGAACAGAGCATCTTGGGTACCCAATCACAGCATTTCACAATGGAAACCAGATAGCCGTGGAAGAGTTGCCATGCTTTTTCTGGTTTTCTGTTGCAGTTGAGTGGGAGTCATTTTGTGGGCCCAGTACAGTGATACTTCAACATCTGGTCTGGTTTAATTAGACATCTTGATTGACAAGTGTGGTTACGGTAGTTTCCATTTCTTGACCGCGAACCTGATTGTTGTAGGGCTCTGGGTAATTTTTGCTTATAGCCTTCCCCCTGGCTTACTCCCATTAAATATCATTCCTTTACTCAGTATTTTAAAGTAGCCTGTTTTATATTGTTTCCCAGACTCGAGTGGGGTGTTCTTTTGCATCTTAAACTGTCCTTTGTAGGGCCAAGCACAGTTTTGGCAGCACAGGCCTTTAATCCCAGCACTCAGGAGGCAAAGGTAGGCGGATCTCTGTGAGTTCCATACCTGCTTAGTTCACATGGGGAATTCCAGGACAACCAGAGCCATATAGCTTGGTGCGGAGTGGGGGGAGGAGAAAGTTATATAAAAAATAAAAAACTGCCCTTAGGAGAGCCCAGTGTGGCGGTATACACTTGTTATCCCACACCAGAAGTAGGAAGGCCAAGAGTTCGAGGCCAGCCTGGGGATACATAGTCAGATCCTGTCTCAAAAGAGAGGCAGGGGTGGGGGGAGAATCTTTTGTACATTAAAAACAGAGTTTTAAAGTGTAGTAAGTGGAATACTTCCCCCAGTGTGTTATTAAATCTTGGACTGATTTTCTTAGCAAAAGATAACCCAATGTATTAATCCTTTCCCATATTAATTCTGCCTAAATTGCCACACACATAAAGGCACTTTTATTGTTGTCTTCGAGAAAGCGTCTCACTGTGTAGCCCTGGGTGGTTTGGAACTATGTAGACCAAGATGCCTTCAGACTCCCCTGCCTCTGCCTCCTGAGTGCCGACATTAAAGGTGCATGCCACCAGACCCAGCAGAAGCAAATGCTCTTGTGAAGAATGTATTAGAGGCACTAAGTTGGACTCCATATGATACAAGATATTACTATTATTTTTTAAAGTTTATTTACTTTTATGTGTATGGGTGTTTTACCCGCATTTATGTCTGCAGCACATGCCTACAGTCCCCTAGGAGGTCAGATGTAGTTAGAGTTTTCCTGCCTTGCCCACAGTCAGGACAAGTCTTTGTCACCCGCCAGTCCCACAGCTGCTCAGACCCAACCAAGTAAACACAGAGACTTATACTGTTTACAAACTGTATGGCCGTGGCAGGCTTCTTGCTAACTGTTCTTTTATCTTTAACCCATTTTTATAAATCTATACCTTGCCACGTGGCTGGTGGCTTACCGGCTTCTACATGCTGCTTGTCCTGTCGGTGGCTGCAGTGTCTCTCCTTCTTCCTGTTTCCCCAGTTCTCCTCTCTCCTTGTCCCGCCTATACTTCCTGTCTGGTCACTGGCCATCAGTGTTTTATTTATATAGGGTGATATCCACAGCACTTCCCCTTTTCGCAACAGTCAGAGGTTACCGATGGTTGTGAACTCTGTCATGTGAGTGTTGGGAACCGAACCTGGGTCCTCTGTAAGAAAAGTAGTGTTTTAACTGCTGAGCCATCTCTCCAGCCCACAATGTTACTTTTAGATAAAGGTTATTATGCTCTGAAATGTTTGAAAATGAAAGTTTTTAGGGAATTCAAAGTAATTGCCCGTGTTCTTCAGACATAAAGATGAAATGGAAATAAATGAAAACGAAAGTGCTATAAGCCAGGATTCAAACACAATTCTGGAGATACTGATGCCAAGGTGATCCAAGAGAAGGGTCGGGAAGGAGCTCTGGGGTCTGCCACAGACAGAGGAAGCCATATAGTGACACTCCTGACTCACTGTGTATTCTGTGTAACCTCCCTCACTGTCTTCCTTTTTTTCTTTGCAGCCTGAAGAGTTAAGGGAGATCATTGAGAAGACTAGGGAGATGGAACAGAACAATGGCCACTACTTTGACACTGCGATTGTGAATTCAGATCTTGATAAAGCCTATCAGGAACTGCTTAGGCTCATTAACAAACTGGACACTGAACCTCAGTGGGTGCCATCTACTTGGCTAAGGTGAAGGAAACAGCTATTCTATTCTGTGTCATCATGGTGAACTTTATTTGGCAAACCACCAACAGGAAGATGGCTTCAATGCTGAGATAAGGTAGAGGGAGGCAGAATAAGCAGCTGACCCATTTGTAGATCTCTTAAACTAGTGAGAAAGGTCCCTTAGGCAGTTTGTACACAACACTCTTACTTCCTGTGCATGGCTTTAGGGATCCTTGGCTTGTTTGGAGATTTAAAATGGAAACTTTCTTCAGAGCATTTCTGATTTATCCTGGTGAAACCTTTTGTTTTCACCTTCCTGACTCTGCTTCTCAGTCAGATGTCAATGACAAAACTGGTATAGTATATACATAATACTCCATGTCTCACAGAGTAACAGATATTAACATTATTTAACACTTAAATGACTTTGTGGGATTACTGGGAGAAGGGGCTGTGCTTCTGTGCACTGGGGATAACAGTATTTTCTTAAACGACTGATTTAGTCATCAGAAATATTTCTCTTAAAAAGAAAAAAATGCCGCTTTAGTTTGTAGTAACTTTTAAAGTTAATTTTATGTCTTATCATTCTAAAAAAAAACATTCCATCAGAAGTACCAACATTGCTGGACATGGCAGGGCATGCTTTTAAATCCCAGCACTCAGGAGGCAGAGGCAGGCGGATCTCTGATTTCAAGGCCAACCTGGTCTACAGAGTGAGTTCCAGGACAGCCAAGGCTACACAGAGAAACCCTGTCTCAAAAAAACAAAAATAAAAAGAGAAGAACCAACTTTTTAGTCCGGACTTTGTGGATGAAAATGCACACTCAGTAGCCTCTAGTGTAGTTAAAAGTATACAAAAGATGCTGACATTTTTTAAGATAGAATTTTCTAAATTCTTTTAGTAAATTGTGGTGATTTGATAGCCTTGATTCCTTTCTCTGATACAAGAATTCGTATAAACTGTGTTGACCATTGAAGTTTCTTCCTTGTGATGGAAATAGTTTTTTATTTCCATGGAAAGATATAATACATTTGACAGTTTCTGCATTTTTATATCAGAGTTCAGAATTTTACCTATGACTGTGCTATGTATGTAAGTATCAAACTGGAAATCTGCTGTACTGTATACTAATATTTAATGGACTAATAAATAGCTGCCTTCAGCATTGGAATACACTTTTATACACTGAGGGAATACCATGACAACTAACTTTGAGATCAGATGGAAGACTTAAAAAGTTATCGAGCATTTTAGAAAAGGACATTGGAGGAAAGTTTATTTAAGCATGTACAGACAAGTTTTTGTCCTAACAAGGTCTGCCTTGTGACCGGTATACAACAGCTTGCTAAATCTTAAATGACGCTAATAGGATTTTTGTACTGTTTCTACAGCTACAGCTTTAAAATGCAGTGTCTACAAATCTGCATGGACAGTTAACTTGTAGTCTTCTCAAGCCTATAAGCAAAGTGTGATGTGTGACAATGTGAATGTCTTGATTTTATTTTGCTACAGCAGTTCATGTTCCCAAAGCTAAACACTGGAATGATACTGAATTGTCACTCAGCACCAGCAGTTGTTGATGTCTGTCTGTGCCGTCTGTGTGTCTGATTTCTCTTCTAGATAATCTTATTGGAACAAATTAGAGCTTGTGATGTCTTTTTATATTCAGTTTTTGCATGCCTTTTGTGGTTGGCTGGCAAGTGTGTCTATTTAGAAATATTTTTTAAATGATTTTCCTTAGGAATAAAGGAACATTCTTGGGTTGAAGGAAGGAATGCTGTACAGTTTCAAATCTGAACACTTCCAGTTTACAGCAGGAAAAATGCAAAGTCCACATCCTTGTCAGCATTGAAGGTCAATTGATACTCAGCACTTCAAAGATGAAATCTTTTCAGTTTTCCACTGTGTTTTCTCCTCAGGAATGAAAGGGTAGTCAGTGGTCAGTAGAGCTTTGTGATCTGCATACTGACTGAAAATACTGACTGAGACTTGGTGCACACCTGTAACCCTGGCAGGAAGATCTAGAGTTCAAGGCTGGCCTGAGCTACATGAGACTCTATCTCCAAAAGGAAAGAAAGAAAAGACAAAAAATATTGTTGGATTTGAGTCAAGTTTTAAGTAGTGTCAGTGCCACTGGGGACAGTGGGGCCATGTGCTATCAAGACTCAAACACAGGACCTTCACCGGCAGAGCCTATACTTAGGCACGTGCCATGCCACCATGCCTCCTTTTAGACTGTGATTTTCAAGGTCAGTGAGATCCTGTAGTTCTCTTTACTCATATCCACAGATGGATAGTATATGTCCTGAACTTTTCTAAATCCTAGTGATTATGAATGTACTAATGCTCAACATAGTCCCTAAACAATGAAAAGTTAAGCTATGCTAAAAAAAAAAAAAAAAAAAACACACACAAAAAAAAAGCTTTGTTATACATATAATTGTACGGTATTAAGGCCAATTCGATTTCCCATCCCTCTGTGGTTGATTGGAAACTGTATTGTGGTTGGCAGTTGATCGAGTTTTGCCTAACATGCACAAAGCCCTGGCTAGATCCCCAGCCACTACAGAAACCCAGCATGGGGGTTCATGGCTGTAGTCCCAGCGCTTGGGAGAGTGAAAGCAGAAGGATCAGCAGCTCACGGTTACCATCAGCCACATGAGACCCTGTCTCAGAAACAAAAGTAGATAGTATCAGCTAATGACATGTCCTTGGGAAACCCAAACATTTAAATTTTCCAATGTAAGAACAAATAGGACATTAGTATTTAGACTGGTCCAGATTTTTTTTCTATGAAAATCTAGTGTATGGATTGTTTTCCTTCTCTCGTGGCCTAAGGAGTAAATATTGACAAGGAATGATTTGAATGTAATTTTTGTGAATGTGTAAAATATTAACCAGGGATTTCTCCTTCATGAAGGTAATCACTCTGACATTCGTTGTTGACCTCCCTTAGGACTGTCTTGTCCTCCACTCGTTATCTTGAGATGTCATACTGCACACTGTATTGTAAAAATAAAAGGTAAAACTATGTTTCGAATCATAAAAGCCATTAAATACTTTCTTTTATTATGGTCCGAGCCAAGGTTTGTACACATCCAGACCACTCCTCTTCCAAGGGTTTGTCAGAAGCACCACTGCTGGAGTCTGAGTGGAATACAAATCACAGTGTCATTTGTCGTGGGTTGTCCTTTAATTGCATAGATGGTCAGTCTATTTCTTTATTGTTGGAACAAACAAGAAACTTGGTTTTTTGAGACAGGGTCTCTCCAGAGTCCTGGCTGTCCCAGAACTCCCTCTATAGACCAGGCTGGCCTCGAACTCAGAGATCCACCTGTGTCTGCCTCCCAAATGCTGGGATTAAAGGCGTGTACTACTAGACCTAGCAGCTCACGGTTTAACCTAAAACTTTTGAAAGTAGCCAGCTTACAGTTGCAAAAACAAAACTTTTCAGAGAGAAGAGGTGTATAGTAGGCAGATTCACTCTAGGGCAGCCAGGGATTTGGGAATTTCTAGTTGTTGGTACATACTTCATTTTCCTGCTGTTGACCTCCCAAAGATTACAACACATAAAAAGTTATACTATGTATATACAACCTGAGTTACTCCATCTTTCTTTTCTACTCCTGGTCTTTCCCCTTGGGTCAGCTCACTCCTAGCGAAACCCAACATTTACCCACTGTTTAATTTTGACTTTTTAATGTGAAGCCATAAAGTCATCTGAAGTTTTAGCTGAATGTGATGACGCATGCCCATAATCCCCGCACTCGGGAGTTCCAGACCACCCTGGAACATACAAGACCCTATTTCAAAAGGAACTCACCTGTCGATCTGGACAGCCCAGTAAGTATCAGAGCTTTAATGACACTACATGAGAAATCTAAATTCCTTTGGTCCAATGCTTTCAGGTGAATTGATTTTCTTAAAAATAAAATCACCAAATGTGGCGCTCTTCAAACTAAGAGCAGTGCCGAGTGCTCAAGGATTATGCCTCTAGTAAGTCTCGCTTGACTTGCATGTATTTCCACCTATGCGATTTGACCTATATCAACTGCTCAGTTTCTCCATATGCAGAACTGAAATGGTACTGTTTACACCTCACCAAGATACTGGGAAGCTGATTGCTGAACAGTTCAATGTCACCTACTGTGAACTTGGCTATTGAACTGACTCCAAACCTGACATTTTCTCCTGTAAGCCATATCTGGTTTTCTACAAATCAGCTCCTCCGAGAGAGGCTATCTTGCTCTGGAATACTTAGAATTTTAAATATGGAAGAGACAAGGATAAAAAAAAGATATAGACTGGGAGATTACTGAAGGGTTTGCCAAGAGGATCTAAGTTCAATACCCTGCCAAGAACCCAAGTAGAAAAAAAGCAGCATGGTAGTGCATGCTTATAAGTCCAGGAGAACAGAGGCGGGGCTTGCTAGCCTGCTAGTCTAGCCTACCAGGCAAGAGCCAAGCCAGTAGGGCTTTCAAAAAAAAAGGCAGGTCTTAAGGAATAGCTCCCAAGGGTGTCCTCTGGCCTCCACATGCACATACAAACATGTACATTACACATCAAAAAAGACAAAAGGTTAAGTGTGAATCTCTGAAGGTAGGGTCGGTGAGATGGTTCAATGGATAAAGGTTACCGAGTTCCATCCTGGGACCCACATGGTCAAAGGGAAAACTGACTTGTGTGAACTGTGGTACACACAGCCCTCCACCTCTACGTACCTATACACATAATACATACAATTCTTCATATAATTGAAGTTACACTACTTGGGTTAAATTCTGGATTCACCAACATCACTTTCCAGCCTTTTTACTTAATCGCCAACGTGTCTCAATTTTTATTCCATGGAATGAACTAAAATATGTATTTTTGGACTGGGGATGTGACTTAATGTAAATACTTGCTTATCATGAGACCATGGGTCCACTCCCTAGTACCACTTTAAAAAAAAACAAAAAAACCTTAATATGGTTGGTTATTTTGAGAACTTAAACACACAAAACAGTAAGTACCTGGCAAATAGTCCTAAATGTTTCCATAATCATTTAACATCTTTAAAAGTCTACCTTGTTGAGCTGGGCGGTGGTGGCGCACGCCTTTAATCCCAGCACT